TTATGTCTCTTAATCCCCTCCCCCATCTTGCCCCTCCCCCCCACTGGTAACCACTAGTTTGTTCTTTCTGTGGGTCTGTTTCTTTTTTGTTCTATTCACTAGTCTTGTTTTATTTTTGAGATTCCACATAGAAGTGATATCATACAGTATCTGTCTTTGTCTGACTGACTTCACTTAGTATGATAATCTCTAGGTCCATCCATGTTGCTGCAAATGGCATTATTTCATTCTTTTTTTATGGCTGAATAGTATTCCATTGTGTGTGTGTGTGTGTGTATCACATCTTCTTTACCCCTCCATCTGTCGATGGAATACACTTTTTATCTTATGCATTTAAAATGAGATTTTGAGAAGCGGTCTGTGGGTTCCCCAGGCACAGTTGTCAGAGCCTCTCATAACTGCCGTCTCCTCTCTGCTCCCTCCAAACACTCGACAGCCAAGGGCTGGAAAACCTACAGAGTTCTGTTTTCCTTCTGTAATGGTACACGCCTTGGATGCAGGTGGCAGAAAAGGCAGAAATTTTGAAATCAGACAGACTGGGGTATAAAATGGGCCCCTCCCCTTTCCGGCTCTAGTAACATGAGCAAGTAATTTTATTTATTGTAGCCCTAGTGTCCTGATCAGTAAAATGTGGCCCCTACCCCCTAGGGTGGTTGTGAAGATCAAATACGGTGACGCGCCTGGTGTGGTTCCAGCAGGTCACAGGTGTTCCAGAGTCACAGCTGTCGTTATGTAACCTTGTTCCACGGTCTCTGCCACATGCATTGTCAAGATGCTTTTCCTTCCCCCTCCAGCCTGGTGCCTGTGCTGGGTCCCCTGTGGAACCCAGGACTCTCGACAACCTGTGAAAACCTGACTTTGCTCATTGTATTCATCTGCATCTTCACGGTACCTCTGGCTCATCCAGAGGAAAGCCTCCTTGCTTTAGTTTATTTTATTTTTTAATCTTCACACAGTCTGAATATGCTTGCCTGTAATATTTTCTTCTGAGTTACCTTGCTGTGTTGCTTCCCTGGAGCTACTGTAACAAATTACCACGGGGGCTAAGACAGCTGACATGTATCCTCGTTGCTGCGGAGGCCAGATGTCTGCAGTCATGGCTGGGCAGGCGGGACCCCACCCCTGGAAGCCCAAGAGGTGGACCCCCTGCCTCTTCCAGCCTCGGGGTTCCCTGCGGGCTCCTCGGATCACGGGTGCGTGGCTCTCATCTCTGCCTCGGGCCGCACATCTTTCTTCCTCTCGTCTCTGGGTCCACATTTCCCTCCTCTTCCAGGGACGCCAGCCATTGGATTAGGGCTCATCTACTAGTATGACCTCATCTTAACTCCACTGCACCTGCAGACTCCGTACCTGCCACTATGGTCACATTCACAGGTATGGGGGTGAGGACTCCCAGTAGATCTTCAGGGGACACAGTTCAACCCCAGCTCTTGCTGACGGTCCTGGAGACTCAGTGTTAGACAGGGTTCTGAAGGGACGTGTGTGGGATCAGTGTTTTTCCCTCAGGTTAATGATTCACTTTCACTGTGGTTTCAAAATATGTTTTGAAGTGTCTAAGCAGAGGTAATGAGATCTATTTTGCCTTTTACTTTTGTAACGTAAAGGAGGGAATCTTGCATAGAAGAAAAAAATGCAAACCGCCCGCCCAACTAGGGCAAGTATTTTAAAACTATGCTGGGAAGCAAGAATTAATGAGGCCATGGACAGGTCTGTTCTCAGACGTTAGTGACTTGGGTGTGAATTGGTCCCGCGTGGTTCTGCGGGCTGTGAGGAGAACCTGGGCCAGCAGAGCTCCGGCCCAGCCACTTACACCCAATGAGAGTGTGTTTAAAGCAGGAAAAAACTCTCGGAGGGCGTGGATGTGGTCACCTGCTGTCCCTTCACAGCATCTGGGGCCACTGCCTGTAGCAGAGTCTGGGGTAGGTCCTGGCTCGTTGGGTGTGGAGCATCCTTTGCTGGGTGTTTGTATTTCTGGGAAGAGTTGCACTCAAGCTGTGTTCCCCGGGACGCATCAAGGGTGTATTTCAGAAGCACATAATGTCTGCTAAAAGAAGATTCAGTTTTAGAATTTGCAGGAAGGTTCACATTTGTTTTATTTGAATGTACCTGTCTTCCGGCAAAGCCTCACTGTTTGAATGTAAGCTTAAATCTGAGGGATTTTTCCCCCATCCCTCTGTCCCTCCTTCTGTACGTTTGCTTTGAATAAAACGGACGTTTCAGTTTTATATATTATGATTCTATTAACTAATTCCTGCACCTCCTGGGGCATCTGGTCCACTCAGAAGGCATGCTTTCTCCTTTCAGGTCTCGGGTGGGGCTGTACGGTACTGATGTGTCACACGAGAATCACGGTTGGTTCTCCTCGTGCTGCCCCATGGGCACGAGGCTTTGCGCAGTCAGTGTCTGATTTCCTGCCCTCTGCACGCCTTCCTTTACTCACCCCCATCACTTCCTGGAGCCTGTTTGCTCTCAGAAGGATTTGTTACCTGAGCAACTAAGACAACTGCTGGTTTTCCTAAACCCATGTCTCCTTCTGTCTCTCTCTCTCTCTCTTTTTTTTTTTTTTTTTTTGGCATCAATGAGGAAAGCAGGCTGCAGCTTGCATACGTGCAAAAAAAAATAAAAACCCCACAAAACCCCACCACCACCAACAAAAACAACAACTGCACATAGATTTGTGACCAATTTATTGCCTGCAATTTTGTTGTACTGTTTTTCTAGCATGTTGTTTCCCAACCTTTTTATCACTGGGTGATGATATAAATGGGTTTATTCTCACTGTGTGCTTAAGTTGTCTGTGCCGTTTGATTTAGTAATTGAGTTAAACAATCCATAATAGCCTGTTTTTTATATGTATGTACTGCAAAAAAACAATATTAACTTTTCCATGATTACTCTTATATTTTCCCACGGTGTCAGAGGAAAATGTTTTAATACACCCTCTTATACATTCTTTTCTGGAGGTGTGTGAATTAAACTGACAGAAGACAGATTTTTATTCATGTGAGTAAGTGGGAGTTCACAGGAAACTGTGGTTCCAGGAAGTGGTTAGCCCTGGGAGCTTACAGAACATCTTAATAGGGGAAAGCGGGTGGAGAAAGGCTCTCACGGGAAAGCAAGTGACTTTTGGGAAAGATAAGGGGCCTGTAGGTGAACAGCGGGGAGACAGGATAGTTTTGTGCCTGTGTCTGTTTCGGTGAGGGCTTCTCCTCTCAGTGACAAGAGCCAATCTTCCCTGGCTGTAAGAAAGAGAATCCCGTCCCAAGGGAGGGGACTTAATGACCACTGAATTCTGCTTTCACGCAGAAGAAAACCCTGTTCTTAAGCGCCTTCCACTCAAAATGGTGTTTATGCTACAGTGGTGTATTCTGGACCCTGTCCCTCCCTGGTGACCTGAATTAAAGATGGTGGTCCAAGCTGTAAGAATCGAATCAGCAGGTAGCAAGGGAGTGGTGTTTGCTAGAGCCCTCTGTCTCTCGAGCAGAGGTGACTTGGTATATGGGAAGTGTCGTGGCTTAGTGGGGACAGAGGTTACAAGGCCCATACCTGGTGTCTCTGTTGCCGCTAGCTGGCTGCGTGGCCCTGGGCAAGTCACCTCGCTTCCCCGGGTCTCAGCTTGGAAACACAGGACCTGCATTTCTGGTCTCAGTTGCCACTGACTGGCGAGAGCCCAGAGTCCTTGGGCCAATGCTCAGGGCAGGGCTGCAGGGGGACATCCGCCCCGCTGGGCGCTCGGCCAGGGTGGCCCGCTCTGCCTGCCCTGCAGTCACATGACTTGCCTGGTTAGCCCAGCCCTCCCCGGGCTGGGCTCTGTTCTGTTTTCACTTGGTTGTTACAGGATGTCTCGGGATGGAAGAGCGGGCGGGTCAGGGGTCGGGG